TTTTTCTAATCCTTTTTCTCTAGTCAATCATATCACAAGTAGAGAACGGACAACATACTATATGTCATCGATCATCAGAGATCTCTTGTTTTGCGCATTCTTTCTCTCATCTACCATTTCTCCCTCCTTCTTCTCTCGAGAAATATTTATCGCGTTTGGCAGTAAAATATATATCAAAAAATGTCAACGTACTAACATTTATAAAAGATATAAAATATACCTTACGCACTCTCAAAAAATGCCATTAAATGTTACCGAATGATCTGCAACATTATTTAGTAAAGAACAACCAAATTTGACATTCGATATTCATTTTTTTTCTTTTCTTTTTCTTCTTGTTTTTTAAAGTATCAAAACCAAACTTCAAAATTTTTCACTTTTTTTTTTATTCCAGCAAAAAAACTAAACGTGTTCAATGAACTTGGTTGTATGAGCATTTAAATTCTATTCTTTCCTCTTCGCGATATTTCTATATTCTTTTTTCTTTTTTTTTCTACTTTTTATCGATGCAAGATAAAGTTTAAAGAAAATGTTCACTTATCAGAGATTCTTCGTATGTTAAGCACAATTAATGCATCAAAAAGAAAGAAAGAAAAAAAAAGAATAAATCACAGACGCTACTCTGTGCACTTTATTTCCCTCTTTACAAAAATTAGGGACTTTTCGAACTTTCATTTACAAGACTCAAAATGAAAGTAACGAGAAACACTTAAAAATATCTATAGTCTTCCCTCACGATGCGAAGCGTCCTGCGTATAAAGCGTAAGACAATGTTTCATATTCATACATCTTACAAATTCACGTGCGCATCACACGATTTTCACCGAGTAACGAAAAACTCGAAATTGAAATTTCAAATCAGCGATACATTCAAAAATCGCTGTCGCGTTCATTTTCATCTGCCACGTTAAGCAATTAAGATTTTCAATTAATTCATTAATAATCTTGAATTTCATAATTCATTGAATTGTTATTCATAAGAATACCACTGCTTCAAACAGTTCTCGTAACGTAATTACAAAAATAACAAATCATGTTCATTAAAATACATGTTCAAGATTTAATTCTTTCTTCCAACAACGCAACCAGCATTCCCATAAATCATAATATTCAATCTCGTGAGTTTTAGTCTTTCTAGTTTTGCACGTATTCTCGATAATTTTCGTCCCTTCTTTCATTTTTTTAGTTTTCTAAACCAAAGGAAAAGAATAATATACAAACGCATGCGAATGTACACGAAACAAATTCAGCCTGAGAGAAAGAAATAAAACATCTTGACCGTGTTGAAGGATGAAAGCGTCGTACAGTGAAATATGAAATTTCTGCTTTCTTTCTTTCTCTTCTTTTTCTTTTTCCTCTTTAGAGAGCTACACGAAAAGATTATACATCTTTGCATTGAAAACGATAAGAGCAATCGAGAAATCTTCTAACATTGTTTTTAAACATAGTTCCAAGATGGGATTCATCATGTCGAACACTCGCTGCGGCTGAACTTAAAAATTATGCTAATTAATTAACGAATCCTTATTGAATATCCTTACTGATTAAGTGAATATCAGTTCGACAATAGTTTTCTGATTCTTTTTTTCTTTCTTTTTTCATTTTTTTTTTTTTTTTTTTT